CTCACTCGCAGCTCAGGATGAAACAAAGCAACCTCATCCCCCTCTAATTGCAGTCCACCCTGGGGTGATTTTACAATTGCAGACTGGCTACTGTTTTGCTGGGATTTTCTTGGGGGGGGGGTAAAAGGGTAAAAAGAACAAGGAAGAAGAAAAAGGGAATTGCTTTGAGTTTGCTTTCATTTCTGGGAAATATTTGTGTTCTGAAAATAGATATACCACTTGGTTTTCCTGTCCTGCTCCTTTCCACTCCAAAATTGGAGTGAGGCCTAGCAAGAAATGTCACCCACCCAGAAATGGGGGTGGTGAGGAATGGGCCAGGGATCTCTCAGCAGCCACGGTCGGAGTTGTTCCACACCTTGATATATTGGCTAAATAAAGCAACTGCTTCTTAGTTTAAGTGTTAACCCTCATTTAATTAGCCAGATCATCTCTCATCAAAGCCATCTGTTCCCTCATCCAGCTTTTAAAATATTTTGATAGGCTTCATTTCTCCAAATGCCCTGCTGCTGAACAGACACCGTCTGAGCACGTGCACCCCAGACTTGGCACTAATACACGTGCTTGGGGTTTGCTGGAGGGGCAGTCACCCACAAAGTGCTCTCTCTCACCCTAAGAGTTATCCCCAGATCCCAGCCCTCAGAGACGAAGCACTCCCTCTTCCCAGCTCACCCACATATCCCAGCTGAGAAAAATTCACCTGGATTTGGGACCGGAGCACCAAATTTGAAGTGACCCACCCCAGCAAGGAAGCGAAACCATTTAGATGGTAGGAAGGGAAATGGAGAAAATTCATACAAAATTTTTTGTATACATAAAAAGAGAAGTAAAAAAAAATTACAGCTGTGATGACAAATACATGGGATAAACAGGACTTGCCTGCAAGACAGTCAGGAAACATTGAGGTCCCGATGTGTGCAGGTGAGAGCTGTGGCATCGTGTGCCCTCCAGCGGGTGCATGTTTGGCTGATGGGAAAATGGTCCCATGTGAAGCAGAGAAAACACTGTAAAAAAGACAGATTATTTTTCTAAGCAAAACGAGATTTAGTAAAATAATGATTTCCTGTTATTATTCTATAAGCACTAGTGGAATTATGTCAGCCAGGAAAACAGTATCCCTGGTTAATACCAGGTTTAGGCATTATGCAGAGATGGCAGGTACTGTTTCACCTCAGGTTTTTATCTCTGCTGGTCACTGGAGCTTTTCTCCCTGGCACCTTCTCTGGCCTGCAAAAGGGGATTTTCTTTTGTGTGTGTGTGTGTGTGTCCTGCTTGCAAGCTTTGCTTCTTGTTTGCTTCTCTTGGGGGGTGGATTTATCTGTACAGATGCAGGGTGGTGCAGGGCCCCACTTTTACCTGATCGGGGACCATACCTTTGCTCCCTGCCCTTTTGTCTTTAACCCCAGCATGGCCACAGCCACTGCGGGAAGGGAGGGGTGGGCAGCAGCACAACCCCGAGGATCCAAACTGTTCACCTCCCTGGGACTTGCTATGGCTGTGCCCAAGTCAGCAGGATGGGATGGGCCTGGTGGCAGCTGGGGTGCAGAGCAGCAGCACAGACCTGCCACGGTCAGCTGGCTGCAGGTTTGCAAAACCAGGGCAGGAATTCTGCTATCGTTTTCTCAGAAAAGAAGTCTAAATCAGGGTGTAACTCTCCAAGAAGTGAGACAGCAGAAGATGCACTCAGTAAATACAATGTGCCCTGTGCACGAGGCAGGATTTAAACAGCAAAAGCCTCCAGACCATCCAGTGTCAGCTCCAGACTCCTTCGCAAACCCAGTGCTTTGCTAGGTTTGGGGGATTTGGGTTTTTTTTTACCCCTACTCCCTCCATCTAGTAGGACTGGCATTGCTGGATGTGCACCCCTGAGATGCCAGGGGTTTCAGCTCTGGGGTTGGGCACCACTGAGCCAGAGCCAATGCAGGGGCTGGGGCACGTGGGCACGCGTTGGCAAATGTCTCCTTTCCCGCTGGCACTGCTTTCACTTTTTCTTTTAATTCTTCTTTCAAAAGGTCTTAAGGGAAATTGTACCTTGATTCCCAGAAATGCACTAGAAGGTGGGAAAAGAAGCCCCAGTGAAAACTTGCTGAGAGACCCTTTCTGCATAAGAGTACAGCTACAAAACAGCCCAGGAGCAAAAATACTGAGGTAGTACAGGCCCTGACTGGCCGTGCCTTTGGGGCCACAGTCTGGGAGCTGATACATCATCAGGTGTTAAAAATCCTTCCAAACTGAGAGCCCTTCCAACTGCAAATACCCCAAATGCCAGCTAACCAGAGCCCATAGGTCTGCCATAACATTACCAGCCTGACGTGGACTGCCTCATGTGGACACAGGAGACCTTTCAGAAGAGCTGCTTTTTCCTGAAAGCCTCCCACCCTAACAGCTCGCCACGATACCAGCATTTCCCATCTGGTGGGCTTATTTTCAGAGAGCCGTGTTCTGGCTGCCAATTCCTGGGCCTGAAAACTTATCAGCACCAGCCAGGGGACGGCTGTTGCCTTTCACTTGCAACCTGCGGAGGGAGATAGGGACAAAGACATCACCCGTGGTTACAAGGGAGAGCCACTGTATCCAGCGCGCAGAAATCCACCCCTGATGGCCCGAGCAACCTTCTGCACATACCTGCGCCCCCCCCAGCAATCCTCCACTTTCACCAGGTATTTTAAACTGGCTCAGGATTTGATGACCAGCCCAGGGCTGACCATGCACCCTTTTCCCACCCCAGGCCCCTGTGCTAAAGCTCGGCATCCAAGTGCCAAAAGGCTAAGTGATGTTTTGGTGATACCACGCAGGATCCCGGCACAGCATCCAGCATAAGGATGCAGAGCAGGACTGCCACCAGCCTTCTTCAGCCCACAGCAGCAAGGCTGCTGGGCACAGGAGATGGCTGCTCCACTTGGCTGCTTTTCAAAGACTGCTGCACAAACCTTGAAGCAGTGCCAGCACACACCCTCTCACTGCAGCCCCTTTCTCAAGGTGTAGCTCCAAGGCCAGCAGGTTTTGTTCACACTTGCCTCCAGCTCTGGGGATTACCCAAATGCAGCCCAGTCTGCGTGCGTGACTGCGGCAGAGATGGGGTTAGACAGAGACTGGAAGCTCCTCTGTAGTCAGCTGTCACAGCCTTGGCCTCAATTCACACCCTGACAGTCATGTTTGTACACAGCCTAGGCAGGATTTCACTCATATTTACATATCCAAGTACACTCTGTAAGTTACAGCCAAAATCTGCCTTCAGCAACCATGCCAAGTCCCAGCACAGACATAGCGCTTCTGCAAGCTGCCCCACAGCAGAAAGCAGGGCCTTTCTGCAGGGGCTTTCTGCTGTAGGACGAGCACAGGACTCCTGAGCCAACACTGCATTTCCCAAGAGCCCTGCCGCTTCTGGGAAAAAAGGTAAAAATGACCCTGTCCCTGCTGTGACCCAAAGCTGAGAACCTGGAGACCCTCAGCAAAACACTACATGGGACCGTGTACAAGTACCTCTTGCTCTCAGTCCTAGTGCCTGAGAGGGCAGCTGGGGCCCTTCCTGCCCGCCAGGGACCCTACATCTTCATGAGAATAGGGAGACCACACTGGAGAACGTGGCCAAAATGATTTATGAAACAAACCAAACACGCAAAAACAAAACATAAGGAAAAAAAAAACCAAAACAAATAAGCAAAACCAGAAATGCATGGAAGTATTCCCAGTTTTATCAAAATTCAAGGCTTTCTCTTAAAAAAAAAATCTAGTCTTCCTGCAAGGGCTAACTGGCATTTTTCTTTTTTTGCTCAGGTCCACCACATGGAGGAGGTCATGCACAGAAACAGGAATTCAGGTAGTGCAGGCTGCAAGGTAAGACATTTGATGGAGGAGCTTTTCCTTCTCTGAATGGATTTCTGAATTCCTTACTTTCAGCTTTTTAAAACCATGGGTAACATGACCACGGTTTCAAAATCTCAGATCCCTGAATCCCACCGGAAGCGGTGTTACTGCTGAAGTCTTACACCCACAGAGGGGGGAGTGTAGAGAAGAGGGAGAAGGCAGGGGGGGAAGAGTATTACCCTCGTTGCAATTTCAGGCAGTCAGAGAGGCTCAGAACAGCATGTCCTTCTTTCAAGGCCAGTTTTTATTCTTAAATCAATGTACCTGAGAGAAACAGCTTAAGGAAGTCCAAGTAATAGCAGTACGAAATTTAAAAAAAAAAAAAGTATGATAAAGATCAACAGGAAGATGTGTTTGCAAGCACCTGTAAAGCACGTTCACTGCTGTTCTCCAGCCACGAAATTGCACAAACAAAATGATGGGAGCACCAGTAAGATCAGGCATTTTTGCATCTTCCCAGCTTTGCTCCTACATCCAAAAATCAAGTCCATACCAATAGCACTCATCATTTTGAGGGCAGGTTCGCAGTGATTTTTACTGCTCTCCGGCTGGCTGTCAGCTGCATGGGGAAGGAAGCGGCAGTGCTTACCTTTGTAGCCAGCAAGCTGGAAAGCTTCCCCCTCTGGGAGGCTGCTTCCAACCCCCCGGCAGGCACCGTAGGGGTCGGGGAGGGGATGTCTCCTACCCATGTGTGTCTAATTCCCGTGTCTGTCCAACAGCCCTGACTCCAAATAAATGCACAGCAAGACATGGCTTCTGGCACACCCAGGTCTTCAGGCACATCTCAGCAAGGAGAACTTAGAGCAGAAATTAAACAAAATACTTGGGTTTTTTGGTCTAAGAGTTGCCCTGCAGTCACATTGGGCTGATATATTGCTATTAAAGCGAGATTTTTCACATGCAAGAACTTGCCACGGTCTCCTTTCACTAAGCTCGAAGTAATGAAATCTCCTGGTGCCCTTCCATTTCACAACACTCCTCCTCCACTAACAAGGAAAGCAGAAATGCTGTGTATTTTACAAACACTGCATCAAATAAAGAGCTGAAAACACCAAGCAAAACACTGCTGTCCTGATGTGTGATGCACAATGCTCTTCGCTTTCAGAGACGCTTCAAAATGAAACACAGCGGCCAGTCTAACTCGTAACTGTTTATTGTAAATCACTCAAGAGTTTACACGTCATTAATGGCAAAGTAACACTGTTAAAACACCTGCCAGATGAAATACAGAATAAAGACAACTCTTTTATATTATATGGCATCATTTAAAAAACAACAAACAGAACAAAAAAGAAACCATTTTATTTTATTTTTTTTCAGTTCTACATCTTTCCTGAAAGTATCTGGGCCTGAGTCTCAGTTATCTTGAGATCCCTCCCTTGCCCGGGGTGTGGGGCCACGCAGCTGGGAAACTCTGGCATTCCCTCTCCGAGGGGCAAGGCAGCGACATTCTTCATAAATGAAAATCACGCCCTCTATCTTCAAATTGACTCCAGTGCTGACAGTACAAAGCTTCTCTCCTGCACTGGCTAACATCTAACACAAAGGGCTACATGTCCCATTAATTCCACATGCTTTTTTTTTTTAGTATTTTTTTTAATCTGTTTTTTTTGTTTGTTTTTATTTTAAACAAGGCAACTGTTAAATTCAGAAGCTACGTAACTGTCTTTATATGTTGCTCAGAAACCAATAGATGTTGCATGCAGCTGAAATACTAGTAGAGACTCTGACTTAGATAAAGGTCAGCTTTCTAAGACCTGCTAGTCAAAGGCAGAAAAAGAAAAAGAGGCCTCTTGTGCAAAAGGAGCTAAAATATGCATGCATCGATGGTCATGACTGATTAGAATATAACTGAGGTCTCCAAACATTGAAATCGAAGCTTTATTTGGCTTAAGACATTGTTGAGCTCTATACCTTTACAAATTACAATGTAAATGCAACAACAAAGGAATCATCTCAACATAGTATCAGTTGATATTTTGGCCTGTATAGAGACTAATCTTCAACACAAAAGCCTGCTCAGCAATAAATGGTTTTCATATTTAGCAAAGACAGCAGTGCACTGGGCTGGCTAACAGGGCTAACAAAAAGAAAGCAGATTTTCAAACTAACGCCTAACTAAATCTAGGCTGACTTTTTTCCCTTGGACATTGTGGTTTTCCTCGGTGCTGTTACTGTTCCTTCCCATTAGTCTGTAGCTGAAACAGCACGTTGGGCCCTGCCCCATGCTCTACGACATCTCAAACGCATATTCAATTAATAGTAGAAACAAAATCTCCCCTAACTACACTTGGAAAGGATAGTTAGTTCCTCCAACCTGACACGTTTACCATGAACAAGCAAATTACAATGTATTTCAGACATGAACTACAGAGACTAAAATAAAATTCCTCTCCTGTTTAACTCCAATATTAAATAATATAGAACATTTTTACACTTAGTAGTCTGAAGTTTGGATGTAAGACAGCTAATAAGGAAAAAAAGCTGGGGCCAAATCTGTTCCTGGGGAATTAATTCAGCCAAACTGATCTGAAAAAAACTAATTTTACCCAGAGGAAAATAAATCCACGGTGGGCATGGAGGTGCAAGCACACCCGCCCGTGTGTACAACAGCGCTGGCACAGCTAAGCGTTACTTCTCAAGGACTGCCATCTCCAGTCCTTTCCTTGCGAGCCTGGATCATCTCCTTCGGGGCCTGTTTGCGGTCAGTGACCAACCCCAACCAAAACATGAAGTCAATGAACCAGGTGGTGGGGTTGAACTTCAGGCCCAGCTCGCTGGCAGAGTAGTCGAAGGGGAAGGTGTGGTGGTAGTTGTGGAAACCCTCACCTGGAAAACAGAGAGAGTTTAAAGACCACACATCCAACATGTTTATGAACTTAGGGACACACTCGGGAGGGATATCCCAAGGCCCATTTCCCAGGTCCTGAATCCAGCACAGGCTATGCTCCACCCCTGGCTGTGGAAGACCTCTGGGGCAGACTCACAACAGACTCCATTGCAGTGCTTTGGGGGTTTCCTCCCCAGTAGGAAGTGGCATGTCCCACCCCTTATGCTCAGGGGAGAAAACTGTAAGTGCTTCTGGAGGGGAGACACAAGCGATTAAGAAGCAGAGTCACTTATTTCTGCAGCACTGTCCCCAGCCGACTGCTGAGAAGAGAGGATTGCTACTGAGAACACACCTTATCCCAGAGACTACATGGCCTTATTGCAATGTGGGCACCATCAGCAAAACAAGGGAGCCTTTCTCTAGGGCCTCCAGCCTCCTCCAAGCCCTAGCTCCAAGTGGTGCCCAGCTGTAGATGCCCAAAGCCTTGACCAGAGTGAAACAGGACGGGATTTCGCTCTGAGTTTGCAAAGCTCTACCCAGGGCTCTAGCACTTACCCATGGCTCCCAGAGTGACAAAGGTGTTCTGCCTGGGGTTGATGTACTTGTCATAAGGGCGGTTGCCGTACATGTGGGCGGCGCTGTTGACCAGCCAGGTGACGTTAAGGGAGATGGTGTACCGCAGGATGGAGGCCAGGAAGTAGGCGTTCCACAGACTCTCGCCCCAGAGGTACCATGGCACACAGGTGGGGATCACAAAGCACATGAGCACGACCGAACTCTTGTAATACCTGCAGGGAAAGAAAAAGACAGGGAATGACAGCTGGGGGTGAAGTGTGGTTGGATCTCCAGAGACAGCTCTGCCAGAAACTCCTGGCATACCCTGGGCTGCCCCACAACCTCTCTTTGCTCTGCTCTCAGAGCTATAAGGCAGAGGGAGGCGACCAGAGCCAAGGTGCTGCAGAGGGACTGCTTCCTCCTGCATGTTCTGGGTTTGAATGAGACTGCTCCAAGTGAGGCACCTCTGCCTCCAAGTGAGGCACCACATCCCAGCCAGGCTGAAAGTCCCAACCCAGAAGTGCTGGGTTGCACCTACTGCATCCTCCTGGCACCAAGCCTTGGCTATCACTCAGTACCACAGCCAGCTACTGATGGCTAGGATGGACCATGGCTCCCATTCTCATCCTCTCTGCAGCAAAAGCACCAGTACTCACCTGCACTGGAAAGCACCAGGAGATGCTGATGGAGATGAAGTCCCAGCTAAGGAACAGCTACAACTACCAGGACAGTCTGGAAACACATCAGGAGAAGGACTGCTGAAAAATCGATGACCCATTCCAAGAATGGAGGAACAGGCTCAACCTAAAATCCCGTTTTTGCTTGTCAAACTGAAACTATGTCTTGGTAGACATTAGCTGTATCCATTTCTTTGGAGCTTAAGCTGTTGAGGGTTGGGTTTTTTGTTTAAGATATAAACTGGATATGTCAGGAGCAGTAATAAGGGAAAAAAATGTTAATAATGCCGATTTTATCTTTCAGGCCAAATTTCAGCATCATTCATATCACAGGTGTTTCTGAAGAATACCCAGAAATGCTTACTGGAAACAGCAGGAAGCTAGCAATCGGTTTTTCATTTTGAAAGGCTGCCATACCACCTCATTTCAAGCATCCACAATCATGATGTAATTTTTCCAAGTGCAAATCAAAGTGCCAAGACAACCCAAACCCCAGAAGCAGCAGGTAACACTGGGGCTGTACATTTGAGACCCAGTCCCAAAGCAAATCCCCCCCAAGCTGAGCACCTTTCATCCTGGGGAAGCACAGAGCTGGCTACACACTGTGTGCCTGGGGTTCAACTCCAGGACTGGAAAAGCCCAGTGAGAAGTGGGGAGGCAAAGCCAAAAACAACATAGGAAATAAGTTACTCTAAATGGAGAGCGGGCTAATGGCACTCGGAAACGGAGAGCAGCAGACAGTGCAGCTTAGGAGCCACCTACAGCGTCTCCAGCTTGAGATGAAACACCATCCCATCCTCCCCACTGAGCCCTTCCACCTCCCCAGAGACCAAATTTACTACAGCCCACAGAGATCCTGGGGTATTATCTTCAAAGCAAGCTGCCACGTGAAACTGGAGCTGTAGGCTGAGGTGAAAGGATTTTGAAGGATGTAGAAAGAAAAGAAACAAGTTAAGACCCATCCTGTTTGTTTAAAATGTTTAGCAAGGTTTAAAATGGACCCTTGCTTTTGTTGAATTTTCTGGAAGGGATGAGGAAGAACAGAGTTTGCATTTATTAAATGCTTGTTAACACCTTCCATTTGCTTAAAAGTTGTTCAGATAGGAAGAACTGTCAGTTTGGTTTGACAAAAAACTGTCAATCAATTTTCAACTAAAACCCACAGAGGACTGTAAAATATTAATATTAACAGTATTTTTGGAAGGAAGAAAGTTTCCATTAACATAGTTCTCATCTACAACACACCAGCTAGTTTTGTTCATCTTGTGTATGAAATAAATTACCCTCTTGCTATGCAAGTTCTTCATTTGGTATTTTTTGTTGTTGTTTGAGGTTGTGCCTCCCATGCTGCACTCCAGGAGATCTGCAGCAGCTCTCCCACAACACAGCACCATGGTGAAAAGTGAGCATCTCCTCAGCTTTCTCACAGGACTCGATCTTCACTTCTCTGAGCCAAGGCTCTCCAAAAGAAACAGACCCCATTCTCCACCAAAGATAAGGGATAATTTCCCACTGAAATTTCCTTCTGAACCAGGCTGTGGATGAGGTTTGCAAATCTCAGGTCAGGATTTAAGTAGAGCAGGATGAGAAAAATATTTTCCAGTCCAGAAACTGCTTCAAAGTTCAAAGCTTTGCCCACTCCATGAAAAGAAAATAAAATATGAAAACAGCTTCTCAGGCACCAATTAAAACCATTATGTGAGATGCAAGAAGCCCAGACTGAAGTCTTCAATGAAGACACAAGATCTCACATCTGAATGAGCACGCAACTATGTTTTCTTTGTCTCCCTTTGATTGAAGCACCTCCCCGGTATAAGAAATGTCCTTCCCTGGAGCTCAGGGGAACTCATACATGCTTTGGGAACAGCGCTGCTTTCACCACATGAAAACACTGTCATGAAGACACTTCACCTGTGAGTGTCTCTCTCACATCACATGTAGGATCATTGCTCCATTACGCGCAGAGGGTCAAATTTTGTTGTTAGTCATGCTTGGAGCCATACTGTGACTGCAGCTGAAGTGACATGGTTTTAAACTGTAGACTGAGTGGTGCCTCATCCACAACTCACCAGCACCACTGAATTCAGCAAAGCTAAATCTGGCCATAAAACAAAATGTGACAAAGAAGCAGCTTTTACTGTGATTCTTACTGAACTGATCTGCCAGGTTTTCCATGCTGTCAAAAGCTCCCCAACACTTCAATGTTATAGAAAGGAAAAACCTGAATTTTTCTTCCCAGATAAGGGAAGGTAAATTCCAAAGTCCTAAATTCAAATCCAGAACAGAGACATTTGCTAAGACATAAATTCTCTGAAGAAAACATGCTTCTTCACTACACAATGGCTGCAGCATAACCAAAGCAGCAGAGCCTGCTTCTTGTGCAGGCCTGTGGCTTGCTGTTGTCTTGGCATGGATTATAACACAGCCAAGAGGAGCTGCAGCAAACTGCAAGGGAGCCTTTGCAAACATGTGCTCCTGACTGAGGAACCAGTAAAAGCAACAGTACATGGAAGGCAGTGAATTCCTCACTCCTGGAGCTCTCCTGAGGCAGATGTAGTTCTGCCTAGTGCGTAGATTTCTCCAATGCAGAAAGAAACTGATTTCTGGACTGAACTGATTGCTCCTCTCACCCATAAAACACTCTGAGATGAGCTTACGTGGTTTGCCAAAGTACTTGGACCAAATGCACACAAGGCAGAGAGTGTCTTCTATTTGTGCCTATAATACAGGTATCACATAGAGGACAAGACATGCTGCTCAATTCCCACCTCTCACAGACTGTGCAGCAAACCGAACTAGGTCTGTGCTAGTTCTCAAGGGAGATAATGAATGCTGTGAAGAATGACAGGCCCGCAGGTGCCGAAGGTGAGTTTGCAGAGTGAGATGTGCACTTCTGCATTAAGGCAGTTGGCGACTGCAGCCTTTGCTCCAGTGATCAAAGGAGAAGGCCAAGATCCCAGCAACTTCTGTGGGTGTTTGCACAGCCAGCCCTGGCTTCTTGGAAAAGCAGAGGGAGAAGAACAGGGCACGTCAGCAAGCATCAGCCACACAGCAATAGGGGGGGCCAGAAGGGATGGCAATCCTAATGCCTGCAATCAAGGTGGCAGGGCTATCTTGGGGGAGAAAAGGGAAAGATAAAATTAAGAAATGAGCCACAACTATATAACCAGGCGGAGGGACCTCTCCACCCCGCCTCGCATGAGGGCCGAGCGCTCCCACTTACTTTCTTTGGAACCTGACGACAGGGTCATCCAGCAGGTCAGTGAAATCCAGTTTCCTCCCCTTCTCTATGACGTCCCGGTGCTTGCGCACAAACAGCCAGCCGATGTGGGAGAAAAAGAAGCCACGGCGAGCGTTGTGTGGGTCTGCGTCCGTCTCAGAGTACTTGTGGTGCACGCGGTGGTCTCGGCTCCACTCGTAGATATCGTTCTGCACAGAAAGCAGGGCAGGATGAGAGGAGAGAGGCTGGGTGCTGTTCCAGAAATAGCACCTCCAGCTCCCTGCCCGCACAGTAACAGCAACAAGCCCCTCACTGCTGCTCCTCAAAAAATGTTATCAACTAAAGACATCCTGAGGGAGCTGGGCTCTGCAGCCAGCCAGCCCATCACACTGCTCCTGTCAGTGCCCACACAGAACGAGACGTGCTCTGGGAACCAGTGACACAGAGTGGACTTGTCCCGGGGCTGGAGGTGGCCCCCAACCTGGGAGTTACCATTATCAGTCTGCTCTGGTCCTGTGTCCTCTCTGAGAGTTCACTGTCTGAGGATGGACACTGGGCTGGAGGGAGCAGGTATGTCCATGTTCACATTATTATTTTATGACTCTGCCAGAGGAGCTCTCATATCTATTTTCAGGGCACTACTGTGCAGAGGCACTCAGTTCTGGCACCCTGTTTCTAAGCTAGTTGTGGCTGGTTACCACTGATGCTCCCCAGAAACAAACACAGTACTGGAAATGGGACAGAGCTTGTGGAAGACTTTTCCTGACCTGAACAGGAGCTGAACATGCTCAGTCTTTTGCAGGGTTGCGTGTTCCAGTAAAACAGACACCTCCGTTTATACCACTGCTCTGCCTGCAGGGATGTGTACAAGAGCACGAGATGGAGATATCAAAGGAGATGTGCCTATTTTATAGGAAATCAAGCCTTGTTTTTGCAGCCAGGCTGGAATAAAAGACTTAGACCCATGACATCAGCTTAGCATTGGATCCAGATCAAATACAAAGTAAGTTTAGTCCTGTCTCTGCTCCCGCTGTCAGCCGATACGGGTCAATGAAATGCCTTATGGCTGTAAACAGGATTACATGGATTGCAGGGAGGAAGGGCTGGACCGCAGTTTCAGACTTGGATCCACAAAGCAAGACTTTCTGAGTTCACTTAGATGAAGGGATTCAGTCTCCTAGTTTGCACTGCAGGATGCACTGGCTATTGGTCTAAACTGGTGGGTTTTGCAGTGGTGCTGAGCTACTGGTGCAGGGCATTGTAAGCGTGTACAACACTTGCAAAGCTCAGGCCACATGTTCATCTACAAACTGAATTGCCCAACATTAGCACCAAAATGTGAAAATGTAAGCTAATGCCCAGATCCACAACAGTGTGAACTAAGAGAAGGCTTAGCAGAGTGTGCTTTCCTTTGTTTTTTCCATCTTTGCACAGCCAGAGAGGTACCCAAGCAGCAATATCTAAACACAGGAAGCGTTTGGGTTACTTTTAGGAACAGCAGCAGAACCCACAGCCACCAACCACAGCAGCTTTGCTCCCAGCAGAACTGAACAAACCATTTGCAGTGCCAATAAGTAACCATGGTGTGGTGGCCATCACGGCAGAGAATGCACTGCAGGATACAGTAAGGCCAGGCCAATGACAACTGTGTATGTCCATATTCTGGGAGACAAAAGCCCTATGCTGAGAGCATCACAGGAATCATTGCTCCTCCTCTCAGCTGCCAGTATTTGAGAGAAAGCACTGAGGCTGCCTGTGCTGCTGAGGAGGCTCCAGGAACAACGGCAAAGAGCAGCTAAAGAATTGACCTCTAACACATCCGAATTCAATTTCAGCCTTGCAAAGATGCTCCCTGTCTGCAGGAGCCCACAAGGGACAAAGAAAGAACAAAAGCCCCATAAAGATGTCAGCTCCATTGCACCCAGTTGTGCTCTGTAGCACTGTCACACCATGGCTGTGGTGACGCTGGAAGGAAGGGGAACATTTTTCGGCAGCACTGACTCACCCAAGTCACTGAGCAGAGGCAGTGAAGATCAGCCCCTTACCAGCACTCCATATGTCACACCTTAACTATCCATTGCACAAGAGAACAAAGTAAGCTGAGTGAAGCAAAGGAAGTCACAAACCTCCTCAGTGAGAGCCAGTGCAGATCTTTACCTTGCTGCTATCTTGGTTTTTTCCTGCAGAGAAATCAAAGGGAATGAAAGCCTCTACACTGCTTCAAGCAGCTTCAGTGGGAATATCCAGAAGACTGGAAAATGCCAAGATTAAGCCACTTAAAAACAAAACAGGGCTATGCAAGAAGCACACCTAGGAAGTGTCCCATTTCTTAACCAGAAACAATTTTTCAAGTGGGACTACTGATCAGTTTGTCACAAGAGCACTCAATAAAGTTGTTTGTGGGACAGCAGGTAACCAGGTCAAAGCAATGACACTGTGAGAAATTAACTTGGCTTTTCATACCATGGCAGACACCTGCAGGGCTGGCAGAAAACCATGATTGCCCAGAGGAAAGAGTTAGGAAGCTGTGAAACAACTGAATTGCATCTAATTAAAAACCACAAAGGCTGAGAGGAAATAAAGGCCAGGGGCCAGAACTGCTGGTGATGAATACACCAAGAACTGGAGCATAGCATGTGTAAATATACTCCGAGCATACTAATAGCAGCCATTTTTCAGGAACACATTGCTCTTGGTCAAGTTTCAGGCAAACACAGGAGTGAAATCCCTTCCAGAGCGTGACAGCATCATGCTGTGACAGCGATACAGACATGGGTTTTCATTAGCAGACATTAATAAACCTGCAGACTGAAATGTGACAATAAATTGGGCTGCGTAACAAGGCTGACACAAGTTTCCACACAGCCACTGCAGCTGTGTGCAAATGTTTACAGCACTTCAGCCAAATGCCACTGCTTGTTTCACAGCCATGGCCAGGAGCAACAAGGGAACAGGGGAGACACCAGCACGTCTCAACTGAGACACTGAAACTTAAGCACTAAGAGATCAAGTAGACACGAAGCCAGCGTTATCTGTTCTTAAACAGACATGTGGCAGCAAGAAGCACAAAGTCTTTCAAAATTGTGAGATCTTCACTTTATATGGTGAGAGGAAATACTGATCAGCATGCTCCACTCATAATAAAAATGCACTGGGCAACAAGGCTAAATCAGCTGCGTCTGATGGTGCTTCAGAGGAAGCACAACATGCCACAGTCCACGTAGGGTCAAGATAAAACTGCTCAGCAGTTTCCCCTGCCCTTCAAGAAGGCTGCATATTGAGGAAGGCAGCATCCAAGGATGCTGTAGGTATCTCCAACGCTGACTCTTCCTCCCAAAGCCAACATGAGGGAGACGGACCTGAAGACTCATTCACCGCCTGCTTGTGGTGGCAAAAGCAGCCTTTGGCAGACAGTGGATGTTATGGCAGTTGGCAGCAGGCTTCAGACTACTCTGAGTGGGGGATCTGGCGTTTCGCTTTCCTTCCAGTTGAAGGGCATCAAGGTGTGAAGCTTTGTAGCTTAGTTGAAGCTGCTTTGAAGCACTTCCCTGCCTCAGAATCACACCATGTCCTCAGCCAAAAGCAATGATGAGGCCAATGCAGCCGAGAGCAAAATCCATAGCAACAGGGGAGCAGAACGCAATGAAATCCCAATGTGCAGGCTCACTGCAACCCAGCTCGACACATTTATTTGAATTACATGTGAAATATAAGATCAGCTGTAAAACAGGAGGAGAGTACCAGGGGTTCGTTCTCAAAGCAGTTGTTTCAGTATGCCGAGCAAAGGGTTTGCAAAGCTTTTCAAGGAACTGAGCAGCACAAAGCAGCTGAAATATGGTTCAGAATAAAGGAGTGTTAGAGTCAAAATGGACAGGTTCCCATGTTCAAACAAAAGTACTGTGCTCTATGTAATGTCAAGAGGGATTAACAAGATTAATTCTTTCCACCCTAAAAAAAGAGATACATCAAAGATGATAAATGAACAGTACAGAAGTAGAAAAAAGGGCACTTAGCTTCTGACAAGGTGCATGAACAAGAAGTCAACCAAACAGGCTGAAAGGGAAAAAGCTGAAATTCCCAAGCACAACACAGACTTAGCAATTGGTGCCACAAGGTGGTACAGCAGCCAAGCTTAGTGAGCTTAGTGATAGTACAGGTTCAGATCTATTTTGAAAAAGGAGTAACTAAATTCACAGTGAGAAGATCCCGGTTCTGGGCTAACTCCTACCACCAGCTGGGTGCTACACAAACATTTTTGAGGTCTAAGATTGCTCATCAGGAAGTACAGAGCTAGTAACACAGTTCTTTGCAAATCTGTTTGCATTATACTGATGAAAAATGCTGTGTAAAATAGAGATAAATTAAGATTGCAAAAGCATGCCTGCTCTCCTTTCTGGACATGTGAAAATCTCCAACTGCCTGGATGGACAAAGAGACACGACTACACAGATGTATTTGCATCAGGTTGGCCCCTACAAAAGTTTCCATATTGTCCTCTGAAGCATGGGACCTGACCTGTGCCACAAATAGGCTGCTGGGGTGCTGAGCTGCTGGTCTGGGCACGCTCAACCTGGCCCTTAAGTAATTATTACTCCTGGACTGTCTAATGCTCGCTGTTAGGTGGGTGGTAAGAGGTGGGCTGCATCCCTTGAGCCAGCAGTGTTTAATCAGCAAGTCTTTCTGCCGGTGCTCTTTTTTCTTTTGCTGTCTCTAAGCTGAGGGGATCCCTGCGCCACAGACAAAGCTGCCTGGAGGCCACAAATCCGGACAGGCAACCACAACCCCACCTGGAAAGCCATGGAGTTAGCTGCAGCCAGAAAGATCCGCAAAGGCAGCTTGGCTTTGTAGGAACGGTGGCTCCACAGGCGATGCGCACCAGCCGTCACGCCCAGGGCTGTCATTATGAAACACAAACATGCTGAAAGATAGAAAAACAGAACACAGGATGTGCCGAGGGCAGCTGCCATTGCTTTTGCTTTCTTTGATGTCAAGATAATCCTTGCTCCTGCCTGCTGACGCCTGCAGGGTCACTCAGGAGACCAGGCTGGACAGACAGGTGAAGCTCGTGTCTCCGGGCCCCAGGACCATGGCAATCCACCTCCCACCCCTACCCATTTAGCCCGTGTGCTGTTCAGGAGGGTTTGGCAGCACTGAAGCACCACACCAAGACGTGTTTATGCAGTGCACCTTCGCCAAGGACAGTACGGGTTCACTGCTCACATAGAAGAGCAGCACAGCTCTTCTATCAGGTCACTGCCAGTCTCCTCCAGACATGTCTTTGCTTGATTCTCATCTGTTTTTAATGAAAAAACTGGCCAAATAGACTTGTTTTGAGCATTATTTCAGATGGTCGACACAGCACAGGAGCTGTGGGACTCATCCCACTGACTCCAGGCTGGACACACAGCCCTAGCATATGCATCCCTACAGCATACCCCCATGCTTAAAACAATACCCCCACCACCAACAACTGCAGCATCACTACCTCTCTGGTCCTCCTTTCAGCAAGGGCATGGTCTCAAGTGATGGGCTGTTCAGCCAGGGCTTCCTGCTGCCCTAAATACATAGGCATGTTTTGGTTAAAATTGCCTATTTCAAATACCTAAACAGTGTTTCTGGAACAAAAAAAACCCTTATTCTCAAAAGGGGGTTTTCTACTGTGTCTGTGTCTGCACAAGTCTGTCCAGCAGGGAACTCTGTTAAACATGCAGTGGCTGGAAGGAAATCCACAATCAGCTTTTTCCACTCGTTAATATAAAACATCTGTCTTTGCAAAAAAGAAAACAAAAATAGGTGTACATAGGTGAGTGTCTACTGTGTCCCTCTAACTCCCAACTCGCAGTGCTTGAAATTACAGCATCTAAAAGAACATATAATAGAAAGATATTTGGTAAAATAATGGCAGCCATCTTTCACGTTGACTGTCACTCCTGCAGACTGAAGGAGTAAGTGGACCCGGTGCATCTATCGAAAACAGATTTACCCAAACTGTTTCACATTATGTACATGGCCCAAATTCCTGTCACCTTCCACAAGGCAAACCAAAGCCTTTCTCACAAAATATAACAGACAAATGGAGCCACAATGGTCCAGGTAAAGATGATGCATCTCTAAAACCCACTCCGGACACCATCACCAAGGAGGCAGTTCTCCTTTCCAGCAGGCTCCACTGTCCCAGCTACTTCAAGAAAAGCCTCACCTGTGCAGTTAAGTCCAGTGCGCTGAAACCTCTCCCCAAATTCAGACTTCTACATGCTTCCTGAAGGAAGATGCAGAAATGAGCAGAAAATCATGCATCCTCTCTGTACATTATTTACAGATTGTTTTACAGCTATCAGATCAGTAAAAACGCCAACATCACAACTCAGTCTTGCAGTCCTTGAACATGCTTTGCCACTGCACAGACGTTGACTTCTATGAAGCTGGGAAAAACCTATCCTGTCATTTTCTGTATGTGATACTGAGCCGTGCAGAAACATCGCTAAATAATGCCTTTCAAATTGCTCAATTTACTGTAACTGTGGGAGCAGATCTGTGACACAGAATACTGACATTATCCAGATAGCATAAAAATATTACGGTTATAGTCCTGAATCATCACAAGAATCTGTTGTCTGTGGGCTCTGTGACTAGTTAACCCCATGCTAGTCATAGGGGCTGAAATCTCTTGTCTTCAGCAATCTCTTCGCTTCCTTAATGCACAGAAGAGGGGCTTTCTCCCACTTCAAAGCGACAGATAATTTAGTTGACCAAGTGCTTCTCAAGGCATCCATCCATCTTAATCATGATCAACTGCTTAAAACCAGAATTAAAGATAAGAGGTTAGAATGAGACACATGCAACATTAAGGTTGATCTTGCTTTGCTTCTCTGTCCAGTGCAAGACAGAGACCGAGTGATAGAAAACACACAGACCACATGAAATAGCTGCACTGAACACAAGGGATTTATGCCAGCACCTCCCAGCATCTTTCCCAGTTTGTGCTTCCCAGGAAGCCCTTGGCTACAAACAAGAGGACTTATCTGAAACACTTCTGCAGAAGCCCTGTTGCTGCACTGGCAGCCTTGCAAGCAGCACATCAGACTCATAACAGCAGGGATTTTCCTAATATAAATCCTGAAGGCTGAAACATTGCCAGAAACAAACAAACAAAATTACTCAGAAGTTTAGTGACTACAGCAGAAACAAATCCTGTCAGGCAAATGCACTGTACAATGATAACAGATTTCTGTGGTTCTTACAGGAATTAAGGTACTTGAAAATATTACTTGGCCACTAATTCACAATGTACAAATAGCCAAGATGACAAATATTTGCAGTGTAAAGATAGGTCTTAAGCTTTCCTTTACATTATGAACTCAAATAAAAATCAGACCATAAACAACTTCATTTTACATTAATTATGCACAATAATGATAGCTACAGTAACAACATTAGAAGAGAGCCACTACTTGCCCATCTAGCTTGTTTTTGGGAAGTGAGGGATATTTCCATGAAACACAAAAGGATTACACTTTGTGGAGCAAAGCAGCTCAGTTAATAGCAATTTCCCCTTATCCTAAAAACTCCCTCTTAGATCTGTAACCAAACAGGTCTCTTAAATAAGGAATAAAAACCATGGTTATTGCAGAAAAAAGGGAAAAAAACCCCACCACAAGTACCAATAAACAACCTGGGATCTAAACAGTGAACAATACAGTTATTTTTAATTCAGTGAGGTACTTAATGTACAAAGTGAAAGCTGCTAAAGCAGCCAGATAAGTCTCCTGCGTGTTTTAGTGAGCTAAATGTAACCAGGCTGACTTGTCAAGGCAAAAATCACACTGCAGCATTTCAAACTTAACCTATGGACTGAAGCCGTGCTACCCATCCATACTGGCTTCACACCTGCTCACGGGCCACCACAGGTACCAGAGACTCTGAATTCGGAGTGTAGATGACCATAGTTGAGGAAGAATAAAATACCGCTGCTTCTGACACCTGGCAAAAGGTTGTGTCATGCTAATACCAAAAGAAAAAGAAAAAGAAAAAAGGAATTATGACTTCAGGGGGAAAAAATGAAAATGCAGAAGCTAACACAGCAGAAAAAGCTGTCTGGAGAGACCTGGGGTGAGAGAGGAAACAGAGCTCTGTCAGACAGCAGGTTTACAGCTGGTGTTTCTGTTGTGAAAAGGCAAGCTAGAGCTGCGCAGCTCAGTTTCCGACTAAAGCCAGAGGGAGAGGAGGAAGATCCTTCCAAGCCATTTTCTGATGGTTTATTCAGTTCTGCCTCGCTCACGGACTGCGGGCAGCATGGAGTGTCTGCCTCGCCGGCAGGCAGCCATCCACCTGGCACAGAGCTGAAGTGTGCCACTGGGCTGGGAGGGCGGCCCAGAGCCGGCTCCATGGTGCTGCCGTCTGCCTTACGCCTGCGGTGGGGTCCTACCCTCCAGCCACACATGGACCCAAAACCAGCTCCTCCTCAGCGTCAGCTCCCGATTACCATGTCCAGTGTGAGAGCTCAGATCCACTCTGTTAATGCAGATACCCACATTATTTAGCGTGTGTTGTACTCGCATATCTCTGCACCTTCTGGGTACTAGGGCATTGCATGTCAGGGGTCTCCACAAGTCTGCAGGGCCTTCAGAGGCCTTTACTTTTGCTTCTGCTACCGTAAAACTTCCAATAATTTACTTAGAATAAGAGCTAAATTATCAGAAGATAATCCTAGCTCCTAGGATGGTAGGAAAATGCTGTGTGCCATGCCTGCTGCTATTCAGAGCTATGGCTAGTTCGACCTGGATGGGTGGTAGAGCCTCAAGATGACATAGTTTCAGAAGATTTCAGTTGGCTATGGTTTGCTTTAAATCACTGTCTGCTCAAAGCAAAGATTACAGGAACTTTAGCTTCAGTCAAGCTCACTTTTCTCCCATTTAAGTGAACATGCTGATTTGGGGACAATTCCCTAGAAACTCCAGCCTCTGGACCTCCTTTTACAGCAATGGCCACAGACATGCCCACAGCTGCCCTTAGCTACACCTGTCCAGGTGCCCATCGCAGCCAGGAGGGTGCCTGCAGTGGCACAGAAAGGCCTAGAAGGTGGCTCTGATCTCATCCCTTCACCTGATGGATCCTTGAGCACAGTCAGGCCGCAGCACCAGCCAGAGTGCAAAATGTATCCCCAGCCAACAGCTCTGTCATCCCAGTTAAGACCTAAAACTCTGCAGGGTGTTTTGGGGCTTGCTGCAGGTCCAGGAGAAGTCTGAGACCTGGCTGCAAGTACCTGAAACAGCAGAGTCTGTGCAAAATGCTCCAGGCCCTGCACAACAAAAACACCAAGCCGAGCTGCCTTTGACTGGATGGTAAACCAGGATCTGTTTCAAAGAAGGATGATTTAATACATCGGAGCAGAGGTTCCTCTCTGCCCTGGACAGGCAGCATGCTCTCCTCCTTGAAGCCCTGCAGAAGCATAAGGTCCAACAGGAGCATTTCCAACCACGAGCTCACTCGATAGAGCACAGCAGATGCAAAATGCTTCTGAACAGAAGCAGTGGGAGTAGCATTTGAGAGGGGGAACAAAGGAGAATTGGGGCAGGAGAAAAGAGCAAACCAGCCTGTGCAAAAGGATCAAGGAAAGGACAGGGAGAGAATGCAAAAGGAAGGCAGCCGAGGTTAAACTGCTGCACAAACAGGGAGCCAGCGGGTTGCTAGGCTCCCAAGTACACTGTGCCTGTGCACAGATGCTATTTATGGGAACATGCCAGAATCAATAGGCAGAAGATTTTTATTCAACATCTGTATTAATGACCTGAAACAAAGGCAAACAGCATATTAATTACAACTGCAGATGATGCTAAATTTGGAGCAGCTGCAAGAGAGCTAAGAAACACAAAAGGATCAATGCAGAAACAGGGAAAGGCTGGCTCAAAATGAG